CCACCTTGAAAGTGACCTTCAATTACAATAATATGTTACTAGTAGTAGTAGTATTGGAACATTTGCTATAATTGAATTTCCTACTTTCTAACCAATCTCAATGTCTTGTTTTTACCTTTCTATAATTAGTATTACTTACTTATATTCAATTATGTCTGCCAACTTAACATAACTGCACCAAGCTCCAAAACCTATCCATCTACTCCCATATTTTAAACAAATATTCACTCCATTTGCTTTCTTAGCCATTGTTTCTAGAATTTGTTTAAATATCACCATGTCTACGATATTTACATCCGTAATATTACGGATCTGACTAAAAGTCAAAAAAAATTATCAGATTCAACTCAGATACGCAATTGCGACGACCAGTTCCACAATTGTAACGATGTCACTTGTTAACCTGGCGGAATTTGATTCTTTTTTTTTTGTCTTTTAGTCAAGGATCCACAATATTGCAAATGTGGATATTGCAGATGCAATGACATTTGGGTAGAACAGAGAGATGAATGGCTAGAAGACCAATTTGAATGGATGAAATGACTATTTGAGTCAATTTCCTTATTCTATTTAAACTAATGATTGATTTAAGTTATGGTTGAACATCCAGATAATGACCCGAGTTAAAGCCTAGTTAAAAACCAAGTTTTGAAGATCTAGGTGTCTTGACTTAAACTACAATCTACGGTAGCAATAATGGAATTAAAAAAAATACTTGGTTACTTAACAAACCACTCAAGTATCATCGGATTCAAATCAGTCAAAGTTTTTACCTAATATGCATAGCATATTTCTTTTTAACTGACACAGTACAATAAGGTTATGTTTAGCTGATAAGCTAACTGATGACTTGTAAGCTAGCTATTAGCTGATAAGCTAGTTGATAGCTAATAAATAAGCTAATGAACAAATCATGTTTTGCAAAAAATAGCCGATGAACATATAAAATGACTAAAAATGACCTCTTGAAAAATTAGTCAATTACAATATTTTATAATTAAAATAAATATTTAACATTATAAGATAATACAAACAAAATAACAAGGAAAAAATAAAATAATATTTATATGTTAGTTAAAAG